GACCTTGCGCTTGCCAGGCAGGTGCTTTTGCCGCTGAGCTAAATCCCCAGCCCCTCCTGCTTTGCTCTTGTTGCCTAGGATTGCTTTTGCTAATCTAGGTCTCTTCTGGTTTCATTCTAGCCACTTGCAGTTTCTGTGTCCCTCTGTGTGCCCCACGTCACACCTTTTTTCACCTAAATTTATGGCCTGTGGGTTTATGAGGTGCCCCCCACCTCACTCCAAAGGCCCCTCTGTCCATATACCCCCAGCTATGACAACCATCCAAGCCAAGGCATAAACCTGACCTCACTGGCAGATGGGGGAAGCAAACAGTGGGGTGGAGGGATGAGGAGTCAAGCAGTAAATTGGACTTAATGCCAGTTCTTCCAGACCCAGCCCCCTCCAAAAACTACACAAGCCTGACCTAGCTTCTCAGTTCAGAGGGTGGGACCCCGTTGTCTTAAGCTTAAACGAATGTCTATGCCCTCTCCATGATGGTCATTTGTGGCCCTCTCCCATCTAATCTAATCACTGTGGTGGGGTTACCCCCAAAACCTTGAAGTAGGGTTGTTCTATCACTTCTGATTCCTGGAGTAGCTCTGTCTTTAACAATAAATCTCTCCCCAAAATGGCTCCTGATTAAACACTCAAATATGGTGTGTGCTGTACTCTCCAACTCTAGCCTGCCGTGTGGAAAGAGCCCTTTTTAGAGTAAAATTTCATATTGTTTTTGCAGTTTATAATATCTGTCTTAGTTACTTTTCTCTCTTTGCTGAGACAAAATACCCAATACCCAAAGTTAAAGAGGTAAAATTTCTTTAGCTCACAGTTTGCAGCCGTTTCAGTCCATACTCGGCTGGCTCCAAGGCAGGGTGGCACATGGCAGAGGGGTAACAGTTCACAGCAACACAAGGCAGCAAAAGCAACAAGAACGAAAGGGGGAAACAAGCATCTTTCTTCTCCTTTTATCTGATCCAGACTGCTGGGATTAGGGTGGTGCCAATACAATCAATGGGGTGGTGCAGCAATCACCCTGCCTTAATCCCACCATCGCACTATGAATCAGCCACAAACTCTAGATTCAGCTACCTCTGCAAAAACCTGCCCCCCATGACTGCATGAGGCCTTGGGGGGACCTCCAGACACAAACCATAACAATATCCATGGGCTTTTCTTGGGTCTAGTGCTGCTGGGCTAGTCCGCTCTTTTTCCCTTGGGCTACTGACCTGTGTTAAGTCCCCCTCCCTGGGAGCTGGGCTAGCTTTCCAGACTGCACTGCTTTTCTCTCTGTGTTTCCTTAGTGTCTCTGTAGTTTCTAGATTTCTAGTATCAGGTCCTTCCTGATTCCCAGAGACCTACTTTTTTTCTTCAGCAAGTTATTGTCCAAATGTCTCAAATCTAGCTTCTGGAGAGATATATTTTGTTATCAGTCTTTACTTTTTCTTTTTGAGACAGGGTCTCATTTTATAGTTCAGGCTGGCCTCAAAGTCACAGCAATCCTCCTGCCTCAGCCTCCTGAGTGCTGGGACTACAAGTGTGCACCACCATGCTTGGCCCTTTATTACATTTTTAATTTCTAAGACAATCTTCTTTAACATTTTCCAGTACATATGCTGTGTATGTGTACTATATACTCAGAATATCTGTCTATCTATCTGTACTTGTACTTTTTACTGTCTCATATTATATACTTTGCAACTTCATTTTCTTTCTCTTTTACTCTCTTTCTGAGACAGGGTCTCCCTGTGTCATTCAGGCTGGCCTTGAACTCACTTTGTAGCCTCAGGCCAGCCTCAAACTTGCATCAGTCCTCTCACCTTAGCTTCCCCAGTGCCAGATTACACATGTGCACCACCATGCCCGGCTGCAACTTCGTTTTCAGTTGTTTCACAGTAATTTGTTAGATAGCACAGTTTATATAACCAATAGCTCATACTGGACTTCCAAACAGTATCCAACTATTTGATACCACAAAGAGTGCTGTGGTGAGTATTCCTGTTAAATATTTGCTATTTGATTACATCCATGATTATTTCTTTGGGTTATACTCCCAAAATGGAAAATGAATTTCAAAAATGAAATTGCTAGCAGAGTGTGGTGGCATATGCTTGTAAGCCCAGCACTCAGGAGGCTGAGGCAAGAGGATTGTTTCAAGTTCAAGACCAGCCTGGGCTACAAAGTGAGCTCAAGACCAGCCTGAACTGCATAGCGAGAGCCTGTCTCAAGGGAAAAAAAAAGACACACAAAAGAAAAGAAAAGAAATTGCTGGCTCAATGATGTGACTAGGAAAACCACCTTCCAGAAAGGTTGTATTAAGGGCTACATTGCTGTACTGCATGACTGTTTATTTCTCTAACACTCCCTCATTCTGGGCTCCAGCCATTAAACAAAACTCTATCTGAATGTCAAAAAAAGAAAATAGTGCCGGGGATATAGCTCAGTGGCAC